CCATCTTGGGCCCGCGCCTGGCAGGTTGCACTGGTCTCGGCCGCCATCTTGGGCCCGGGCCTGGCAGGTTGCCCTGGTCTGGGGCCGGCACCTGGGACAATGTTTGGCGCCATTTTCAACTGATTCCGCGGTAAATGATGCGCCCTTTGAGCATTTTTATCCCAGCTTGAGAAATATAAAATTAGGTTACCCTCACGCCATTAACACCCAGATTTTTTTGATTTTTTTTTTTTTTTATTGCATTCACTGGGGTGCCCTGGGTTGACGATTCTGCAGGTTGCAGGGCTGCGATCCTGTAGGACACTGTTGGCGCACGACCGCCTCCGGTCACCGGTTACCCCCTCCTCTCCCGTAATCCATGCTGTTGTCTGAGGGGTTTTTTGTTTGTCTTTCCATGTTTTTTGCTACTCCCTTCGCCCCTGAACATCCAGATGTTTCCCTTCGTGCCACGTTTACCCGGTGCATTTCCGAGCGGGCAGTAACACCGTCAGAGAATGTATTACGTACACAGCAGGTTTCCCATCGTAAATGACGTTTCAGTTTCGCGTCGTCCTCACAAGCTCGCGTGTTGTGTGGGACGTGGCGCAGGGAGGTGGGTAAGGGTCTCGCTTGGGAAGGGCAGGGCCGCCCTGGGACCCGGCGAGGCGCCAGGACAGCCCCTCCCTGCGCCCGCTCTAGGCGAGGTCTCCGGAGAGGGCCTCGCCGTCGCCGAGCCGGCCTTTTGTGTCCACACATAGTTTAGGTTAGTTTCCCAACGGGTTTTGTAGGGGAGCTGTGTCAGGCACTGCCGCGCCATGACTGACGCACACTCCTCAATTCATTCCATCAGACGGCTCGGCAGTGCTGGGGCGCTGAGGAAGACGAAGGGACGGCTCGGACCGACGGACAGCCCGGCAGGTCAGACGCGCTGAAATCGTCGGCACCTGGGCTCCAGTCGGTGTAAAACGGGGGTAGGGTCGCGCTCAGCGTGGGGCCGACTGAGCCTAAGGATCCGGGGACGCTTGCGGAGGAAGTGGTGGTTCAGGTCGGAGGCCCGGATTGGGAGTGAGTGCGCGTGTGTGTGTGTGCACGAGTGTGCAGACGTGTGTGCGCGTGAGTGTGCGCGCGTGCTGATAGGGGAGGCGCGGCTAGGGGTGGGCAGGAAACTAACGTAACATTGTGTGTCAGCCGTAATTGAGAAATTAAAAAATTAAAAGAATAAAGTACCACCTCAAAAGAATCATCTCAAGCTAGTAATTTTTGCTCCTACTTTTACACACCTGCCCCCTTTTCAAAAGCACTTAATTTTTGTTAGTACAGCAGGACCGGACCGTAGGACAGTAAAATCCAGAGATCTTTTATAAGGCACACAACTATAGCATTAAGCAAAAGACTCTTAGAATAGAATAAATTCATGCTTTAACTTTTACAATGTGGCTTTTTACATGTTTAAGGAAATGACAAAACCGTGGAATACAGTCCTGCTCGTCCTCTTTATGTATTATCTGTGGCTGCTTCCACTCTAACAGAGACTGCTGGGCCCAGAAGCTTAAATCTGGCTCTTTACGGAAAGAAATTTGCCACCCTTGGTCTAGAAAAGTGCATGACACAGCAGGATTCCACCTATACTTACAGAATGAAGACAAAGCTAATAAAATAACACCAGCTCCCATACGCCTTCAGCATTTGTTCTGTGCCATAAACTGTGCTGAACACTTTACATGCAGTATTTAATTTGAATTTCACAACAGTGTTACATAAGAAAATAAGCATGTCTTGCTCCCTTATCTCCAAGGTTTTGTGAACTGCCACTACCCTGAACACTATTCAGAATTGCAGACTCCTACTTTCTACCAACTCTGGCTTATTCTATAGCACTCGACCTTATTACAGATGACATACACACTTATTTTGTTTGCTTATGAGAATGTGTATTCCATGAATGTGCTTACTTCCTGATGTGTCTCCACCCATGAGCAGCCTAGAGCAGGGCTGCCATATAGTGAGTGCCCAATAAACTAAACGTTAGGTGGTTGGTGTGGGGGTGCCCAGGTAAGACCTGGCCGTGACCCACTCATGTCTTAAATTAGAGCTCATTCTCTTACTCTCTTGCGGAGTTTGTCGAGGATGTAAATGTAGTCATTCCATTATTGAAAAGTGAGTTCTCGGCTATTTTTTGAGGGCATGTTTTGACAGTGGCTCTAATGTTGGCATATATTTTACCACGTGGTTACTGTCTCAACACAGGTGCTTGCTGAAGACTTGCCCAGATCACTGCGACCTAGAAGTGGTTGATACGTACAGGTGCAGGCCTTCAAGGAGGACGCAGAATGGAGCAGCAGCTGAACCCCCCGACAAAGACGCACGAACGGCAAGGCCGGAGTAGAAGAGCCCTCAGTGGGGGTAAGCCAAACCCGGCCAAGCCAGGGCCGGCCCAGCAGGAACCTCTCAACACGGGGAGGGCCTCTAGTGAAGGTGGGGACCACGAGCCTAGCCGTCGGGCAGGTGAAGAGGACTCCTTCCCTGACTGTTATCTGGAGTGCATAATAAGAGGCGAGTTTCCTGAACCCACCCCAGCAGAGGACGTGTTTCTTAAGTCCTTCTACCACCTACGAGAAGGATCTGAGCAAGAGCCTTCTCAACAGGTTCCTACAGGGAGCTCGCTTCTTGAATGTTCTCTGCAGTACACAAAGAAAGGGGAGAAGCAAGAATGTCCTCAACAGAATGTTGGAGAGAAGCTGCTTGTTGCGTGTTCTGAGCACGTGACAAGCAAGAAGCCGCCTCCTCGGGCAACACCCAACCCTAACTTAGTAGATCCTACACAGCTTGCAGAATTTGCTAGAAATCAGCCAAGAGAAAAGGAAGAATATGGTGCTCCAGAAAAAATTGTTTGTCCTCGGAGTGGATGCACGAAACAGTTGAGAAATAGAGATTCCCTGAGAAAGCATCTCGTCCTCGTTCATGGTCCCCGAAACCACATGTGTGCAGAATGTGGGAAAGCATTTACCGAGAGCGCAAAACTAAAAAGGCATTTTATGGTTCATACTGGAGAGAGGCCTTTTCTGTGCACTTTCAAAGGGTGCGGAAAACGCTTTTCCCTGGCCTTCAATTTGCGTACACACGTCCGCATCCACACTGGGGAGAAGTCTTTTGTATGTCCCTTTGAAGGCTGTCGTAAGAGCTTTGTTCAGTCAAACAACCTGAAAGCTCACATCTTAACTCATGCAAAACCAGCAAGTCAAGGCAGAGAAGATGGAAAATAATCTTCAAACAGGATAAGCATTTTAACAAGCGATAGGGGGCAAATTTGCCTCATTGATTATTGTTTCCAGGAAAGAATTTTCGAATCGTTGCAACCCTATAAGGCATATTTTTTTTTTAAGTGTTCTTTAATTGATTTCAAAGAGAGGAAGGGGGAGAGAGAAACATTGATGAGCCATTGATCTGCCTCCAGCACACCCCCTACTGGGGATGGAGCCCCCCAGCCCAGACATGTGCCCTGACTGGGAATCAAACCTGATCCCCTGGTTCATGGGTTGATGCTCAACTCCTGAGCCACACCGATGCTCCTATAGTTTGTGATACCATTTTAAGAACATCATGTATAGAATTATAGTGTGCTTCCAACAGGAGGGTCAGTAATGAACCTATTTCAAACACGTAATTTTTAATATGTTATGGATTAGAATAGTGAATAAGGGGCTAATCGTCACATGCTGTAAAAATAAAATTAACTTTGGTTAGCTTTGTTGTTTCTAATTTAACTTGCCTTTTAAGAATATACTTTGTGCTACCTGTGATAATCCTAGAGAGTGAAAATTCTACAATAGATTGTCGATAAGTGAATGTGTAGTTAAGTTTTTTTGAAAGTTCCAAATAATTGTTATTTTCTTTTTCTAATCATTGTATCCACCTATTAAAATCAGATACCTGGATCTGAATGGTTATTTGATAGTGTAAATTTATTTGAATCATTTCAGATAGTTTTCAAATAAAAGGAAATACAACCCCAGAAATATGCTAAGTCTGGATTGAAAAATCAGAGTGTTCACTAAAGAGAAAATACTGTTTGTCTTTGAAAGCAGCAAAAATTGCAGGTTGATAATGCAGTATTGATGAGATGTGAGGAGTTATCTATCTACCTGCTAGCTAGTTAAGGTATAAATTGTCACAGCCATTTTGGAGGGTATTTTGAAAGTTTGCTGTATCAATTTTCTAGGACTGCTATAACACCACCACCAAGTAGGTGGCTTAAACAACATGGCCAGACAAGTTGTCTGCAACACGGGAGACGCCTTCACCAAAAGGCAGCCATGCTGACTTTATGATCTTGGACTTCCCAGCCTCCAGATCTGTGAGGAATAAATTTCTGTTGTTTATAAGCCAAAAACCAAACAAACAAAAAACCCCAAATTTATTGACTCCTGGTTCTTAAGGCTAGAAGTCCAAAATCAAGGTGTTGGCAGGATTGGTTCCTTCTGAGGGTTTGAAGGACCTGTTCCAGGCTTCTCTTCTTGGTTTGTAGGTGAGTATCCTCATGTTTACGTGGTGTCCTTGCATCTTCACATCTTCCTCTGTGCATGTCCGTGTGCAGATTTACAAGGTACCAGTCATTGGATTGGGACCCACCCTAATGACCTCATTTTAGTGGATTACCTCTATAAAGATCCCATCTCCGAATAAGGTCACATTCTGAGGTACTGAGAGTTAGGATTTCAGCATGAATTTTAGGGGATACACAGTTCAACCTATAAGGTGCATTCTTGTAGACCCAGTAATTTTAGTTCTAGAATCCAGGTCTACAGAAATGTTTGTACTAGTGTACAAAGATATTTGTTCAAGGATGTTAACTGAAACATTTTTAATAGTAAATTCATAGCTTAAATGCCCACTAAAATGAAACAGGTTGCATAATGATACCTCTATTCAACAGGAAATGTGCAAATATCCTTAAAGGAACCTTGGCTGTAAAGGGAAGGGAGTATAGCTAGAAGGAAGCCATAGATTAGGAGAAAGTTGGTTTTACTTTTGAAAAAAATTTTGAATACTTTTTAAAAAACATTTTAAATACTTTGTTTATTGAGTGATTGATTTTAGGGGGGGAGAGAGAGAGAGAGAGATCAATTTGTTCCACTTATCTATGCATTCATTGGCTGACTTAGGGGATCAAACCTGCAACCTTGGCCTATTGGGACAACAGTAACCAACTGAGCCATCTGGCCAGGAGGAGGAAGTTGTTTCTAATAAATGGGTCAGAATCCAGTGTATTTTATGCTGTGGAAGAAAATTTAGAGAAAGTGGTTAATCTGGATAAAGGGGAAAATTGGTCAATCAGAAATAGCGGGTAAAAATAGAACTATAGCTTTAATATAAAGATTAACTTATTTTTGTGATTATAAGATGAATACCTCATTGGAATCACCTAATAATGAGCAAAAAATATGCAGCCATTAAGCTTGGAATGTATTTTCCACAGAATCAATACTAGATAATCATATAGTTAGAATACCTGTATTTGATCTTAAGATTTTAAGACACCATTGGAAACAATGGTAATATGTACTGTGAATTTAACAGCTTGGGAGGGGGGTTCAGCACAGCAAACAAACTTTAAGATTAATCTTGACTTAGAAATACAAAAATGTAAACAAGCTTAAAAACAAGAGGAAAACCTAGGGCTTACATTTTCATTCAGAATGAGGTAATTGTCCCTATGGACTATTAATGAAATTTTAATTTTTCTATTGGTAATATATTTGGTATGGCTTTTATACCATCGTTTCTATAGGAATGGGGGTTCTGCGTCTCAAGTTGAAAGGAACATTAGATAAATAATCCATAAATTTGCAATTTCCTCTGAATGAAACACCCAAGTATAGAATTTAGGATGGGAATTCAAACGAGATGATGGAGCATGTATTTGTCTCGTTTTTGCATTGACCGCAGTATTTGCTTTGATCCTCTATAGATTTCTACTTCAGAGTTGAGTTAGGACATAGCACCACTGAAAACCAAGCAAACAGCAGGATTATGCAGAGCGNGTCCTCTAGATTTCTACTTCAGAGTTGAGTTAGGACATAGCACCACTGAAAACCAAGCAAACAGCAGGATTATGCAGAGCGCAGTCAAGGCTAGATAAAATGAATGGCTGCAAACTTAAGGCCTGCAATCTTGATCAAGAAGGATCAAGATTGACTTCCTGATGTCAAGGCTTGTCAATGTCTGCAGAGCACTTTTTCTGGAGCCAAAGGGGACAAAAGCTAAGTATTTACAAATCTGAAGCTTAAATGTACAAAGGACAAAAATCTGAGAAAGTGCTTGGGTCTGGATTCCAAAGCTTGGTTATATTCTGGCTTGGGGATAGGAAGCTACTTGGCTGGCCGCCTAGGTGCTCTTTTGTTTTTCTTTTCCAAGGAGGAACCCTAAGACTTCAGAATGTAAGAGAAAGAAGGCATGTGGATGTAATAGAAAAAAGACGAAAGGGAAAGGATTAGGTGGCGAGGACATGTCGGCTGAAATCTTAATGTTTTGCAAAAGAAACACTTATCCACATTTGCATTTTAAGTAAGAATGAGCATAAAATGTGTGAACACATATCCAGAGGCAATTGAAAGAGGAAATCACTCCTAGATTTCTACATGTCTCCAGATACTGGCATTTTACAAACCCTAATGAATCAAGTATTTTTGTTTCATGCTGGTATTTGAATTCATGGCCCATGTCACACTTTTAATGACCAACACATTGTCAGAAGGTAACAGGTAGTTACAGAATAGTCATGGGGATGTAAGGTACAGTGTAGGGAATACAGTCAAAGTATACGATTATCTAATCACTATGCTGTACACTTGAGACTAATACAAACTAACACTGAAAGTAACCTGAAAAAATACTAAATTAAGAAGGTAACAGAAATGTCCGTTGCTTTCTTAGTACCGCTAACACATAAGGCATAGTTGACAATTTAAATACATTATGGAATAAATAAATGGGGAAGTAGCTTAATATAATTAAAAAATAGCAAAGTTATATGTATATATTCAAAAACAGCTAATAAAGCATTACTAGTTTTTAAGGAAAATCTGGTTACTGTGAAATGAAGGTGACAACTTGGAAAAACAGCTATGTGAATCGAAGCTCATGTCAATTTGTCCTCAAGCAATCACTTAAAAGATTTTTAAATAATTACATTGATTTTTGGTTTTTTTATTAGTGAAAATTACCTTAAATCTCATTACCCTTTTTTTGGTCATTTCTACCTTCTTCCTCTGAGACAGGAGACTGAGGGTCTGCTCACCTCCTACCGTCTTGGATAATAGAGAACTAATTTGCCTTGAGAAGTACAGAAACAGGCTGATTTTATTAGTCAAAAATGTGTCAAACCACTTACATTCTTTCTTTACATAAGTTTTTTATATTCTTTGTGATACATGCACAGATCTCCCAAACAATCATGCTTGATTTTTGCATTTCACCCTATAATCTACATTGGTATAACCTATTGGTAGACATAGGATTTCTATCCCGAGAGAATTCTATCCAAAGCACATTTGTCATAAATTACTCTCCTACCAAATATACATGTGTAGAAATTTGTGTGTGCTTATGTTTTAATTACCTAATGCACTAGCTCTGATTGAATAAATTACATGATTACATCCTACATTGGACACAGAACAGTGCAAGTTGCATTAAAAAGCCATTATATTTGCAACTGAGCAAGAGACAATAATTAAAAAGGCAGTTGGTTGAAATTAGCTTTGAGAGTACAAGAGTTTAAGTAGGATTCGGTAAATGAACATTAACTGTTAACATGTGGTTTTTATTTGGTCTTCTGCTTCTTGTGACCTTAGGATTGAATTTCTTAGATGTCAGTGGGCCAGACATGAAAACACCTGTACAAAGCCATGCTTTACCATGTAGCTTAAGTTGTACCCATAAAAAAGACCAACATAACTTTTGTAACTTTAGTAAGTTAAAGGTATTGGGTAGGCTGGAATGATACCCAGGGCATTAATAAAGTATTTTTAATACTCCTAAGATCTCAGGTGTGTGTCATAAAAAGCTTAGTACATACTTCCTCTAACTCAAATGTTGGTGATAAAATACACACGTACAAATCAAAGTAACAAAACGAAAATTTTGGTTATCGCGACCATTAAATATACAAAACGTTAAAGTTATACACAATATGAGTAATAGTACTCTGCCTAAGGCAACCAATACATTTACAAATTGCTGAGGACCTGGCGTAGTACTAGTATTTGTGTGGGGGCGGGTAGGTAGGAATCTGGGGTTTTAGCAGGTATACCTGCCTAATAGACATTACGTTTAGGGCAGATTAAAAGTGGCTGCAAATTCTCTGCTCCTCCCATTGAGGCTGGGAGTCTCTCCCTTCCCTGTAATGTGCAGGTCTGAAGGCTTCGA